GTTACACCATTAAGCTGTATCTCTGGCATATTTCACTATCAAAGGGCTCACACTGTTGGGAAGATCCTCCTTATATTCAGATGGAACCTCTTTCCCTGCGGTTTGCATCCGATGCTCCGTATATAATTTGGCCCCATCTATAATGCAGGTTGAAACGACATCATATGTTCAGTGTAGACCCGTATACTGCAGTTTTACTGCATGATGAGTCCAGGAGGTAAAGGTTTTCCCCTTGACATTAAGTCCACTCGTGTTGCTTTTCCTCAATGCGACTGTCACCTGGAAGTGGAGACATCAATAATCCAAACATTTTTCTTTTCCACAATCGTGATGTCTGGTGTATTGTGTTCCAAAACTTTGTCAATCTGGATTCGAAAGTCCCGCATTGTTGTTGTTGTTGTTTGTTGTTGTTGTTGTTAGCCCCCAATTTTGCCACTAGCAAATAGTGGAGAATCAGGGGGATGTGATTGCCATGCCTTTGGACAACTTTGCACAGCATCGCCTTCAATCTGGAGGGAACATTTCCAGTACGATTCTTAGCACAACAGTGACACCTGCTGCCTCTCCACCAAAGAGCCATTTGGACTGCCAAAGCTTCCCAGCAATAGGATGCTTTTTAACATCTACATGAAACCGCTGGGAGAGGTCATCTGGAGTTTTGGAGTTGGGTGCCATCTCTACGCAGATGACACACAACTCTACTACTCCTTTCCACCTAACTCCAAGGAAGCCCCTCGGTGCTGGACGAGTGCCTGGCCACTGTGTCTATCTGGATGAGGAGGAACAAGCTGAAGATCAATCCCGACAAGACAGAGGTCCTCCTGGTCGATCGTAAACCGGATCGGGGTATAGAGTGGCAACCTGTGCTGGACGGAGTTACACTCCCCCTGAAGCCACAGGTCTGCAGTCTGGACTCATCACTTACACTTATGTCAGTGGTGGCCGGGAGGGCCTTTGCTCAACTAAGACTCGTGTGCCAACTGCGACCGTACCTCGTGAAGGTGGATCTGGCCAGGGTGGTCCATGCCTTAAGTCACTTCTAGACTGGATTACTGCAATGTGCTCTACATGGGGCTGCCTTTGAAGATGGCCCAAAAATTCCCACTGGTCCAACGGGCAGCGGCCAGGATGTTAACCAGGGCTCCTTACAGAGAGAGGTCAACCCTCCTGTTCAAGGAGCTCCACTGGCTGCCATTCATTTTCCGGACCCAATTCAAGGTGCAGGTTCTTACCTACAAAACCCTGAACGGTTTGGTACCCGCCTACCTACGTGACTGCATTTCTGTGTACGAACCCACACGATCTCTTCAATCATCTGGAGAGGCCCTGCTCGCGCTCCCACCTCCATCGCAGCATGATTGGTGGGGATGAGAGACAGGGCCTTTTCAGTGGTGGCCCCTCGACTCTGGAACTCACTCCCTAAAGACATCAGACAGGCCCCAACTCTGGCAGTCTTTAGGAGGAGTTTGAAGATGTGGTTGTTCCAGTGTGCCTTCCCAGAATAACGATCCCATAGCACTTTGTCCTCCAAAGCACTTATATTGTTTTAGGTCTGCTTGTATGTTTCCACAAATGCCCCATCACTTTTTCGCCCATGTCCAGCATTATTTTTAAATTGTAATTACATTTGGCCTACCCATAGATTTTAAAGTGTGTTGTCCTATTGTTAATGCTTATGCTATTGTTTTATTGTTTGGTGGCCCAGGAGGTCTCTTCCCACTCTAGGATTCCATGATTCTATCCCAAAGGAATGAATAACGATAGAGGCTTCTTCAAAAGTTGAATAGAGAAAAGATTTATTTATAAGAACAAACAAACAACTGACTTCTTTGATGAGGCACAAAAGCTTAACTTGTTACTAATGTACAATAATAGTTTCTTAAAAAGAGTTCCTTGTCTTGGTTACAAACAGAATTCCTCACTCTTCAGTAACACAGTAGCAGTGAGTTCCCCAGACTAACCTACTCAGGCTGTCTTCAGAGCAATTAGCTCACTCTAATCAGAGTACTCTACAGCTAATTTACTCCACCTAGAGAGCAAATCCCCTGGTGTTGTCACCCACAAGGAATCAGGAGGCTACTTGACCCTTCTGGCCAATAATGCAGTATCAGGTTTTACAATGTATTGCAATGTAATATAGCTGAGTCATGCACTGCTAATGGGCTTCTATTGGAAATGCTGACTCATGCATTGACTGTATATAGAACTTCATTTGGGGAATGTGTTCTGGCCTAGTCCAGGTGATTGTGAATGATGTAATCCTGGGTTTGAGTTAAGTCAATGAGTTGGGAACCAATCAGAGATTGCTATGTGTAATTGTATAGAATTGTATATAAGGAAGTCATGTACAGTGTATATTTCTCCTTGTGCTGTGATGTTGTTCGTCGAAGGCTATGTGTAATTAAAAGAACCTGTCTGCTAAGACAAGATATAACTGTATGCTGTGGTAAGTTTGTAATATCATCTAGACTGGGGGAAAGACAATGGTAGCCAGATTTTGTTCATTTTCATGGTTTCCTACGTTTCGCCTCCATCTATGGCAAGCATCCTCAGAGGTAGCGAGGTCTGTGAATCTGGCTACCAGTATTAAAAAAAAATCTCTGAAATTGCAACAGCACAACAACAGAGAGGAAACAAACAAGGACATCTAATCACCTCGCAACAAAAGATTGCTCCAGGCACTGTCAGGCCATCAAATGCTAAGCAAGGTGGTCAGTTGAAACAGTCACACCTAGCTCCAGCAGACAAGAGTCCTTTGTCCCAAAAAACTCAAAAATTACAACAGAACAACAACAGAGAGGAAACAAACAAGGACATCTAATCACCTCTCAACAAAAGATTGCTCCAGGCACTGCCAGGCCATCAAATGCTAATCAAGGTGGTCAGTTGAAACAGTCACACCTAGCTCCAGCAGACAAGAGTCCTTTGTCCCAAAAAACTCAAAAATTACAACAGAACAACAACAGAGAGGAAACAAACAAGGACATCTAATCACCTCTCAACAAAAGATTGCTCCAGGCACTGCCAGGCCATCAAATGCTAATCAAGGTGGTCAGTTGAAACATTCCCACCTAGCTCCAGCAGACAAGAGTTCTTTCTCCCACCCTGGTCATTCCACAGATATATAAACCCTTTTTCCTAGTTCCAACAGACCTCACTACCTCTGAGGATGCTTGCCATAGATGCAGGCGAAACGTCAGGAGAGAATGCCTCTAGAACATGGCCATATAGCCCGGAAAAACCTACAACAAGGACATCTAATCACCTCTCAACAAAAGATTGCTCCAGGCACTGCCAGGCCATCAAATGCTAATCAAGGTGGTCAGTTGAAACATTCCCACCTAGCTCCAGCAGACAAGAGTCCTTTGTCCCACCCTGGACATCATTCCACAGATATATAAACCCTTTTTCCTAGTTCCAACCTCTGAGGATGCTTGCCATAGATGCAGGCGAAACGTCAGGAGAGAATGCCTCTAGAACATGGCCATATAGCCCAAAAAACCTACAACAACCCACTTCTTCTTCCTTCAGTTCCCAAATCCCAACTCCTCTTCTCTCTTAGAAGCTGACACTTTTTCCCTCCCAAGACTTGGCTCCTCCCATCTGCTCTAGCCAATCCCAGGAGACCTCCAGCTCCTCCCCTCTTCTAACTTTCCACTCTCAAGATGTCTGCTTCCCTGGCTTACACTCCCAAAATGGAGGCCTGCCTCACTGATATCCCAGGCTTCTCCTTCGGCCTACTAGGTAAGAGTCATTACAACTAACAATCAAATAAGGCCTTCCATATCCTTCCGTCGGAAGGTCGGTGAAACGAGACTCTACCGCAATTGAGTCCCTCCCCAGGTGTTTGGGCCTACAACTCCCAGAATTCCCAGCCAGTTTACCAACTGTTAGGATTTCTGGGAGTTTTCTGGCCAAAACACCTGGGGAGGGACCCACAGGTGGAGAACCACAATGTTGCATCGCTCTACATTGAAGAAAACTTTCGGTGAATTGCAAAACCCAGATACCAATTAAGGAAAGATATAGTTGTAATGAGTTGCTGTGAGTTTTCCGGGCTATCTGGCCATATTCCAGAAGCATTCTCTGCTGACATTTCGCCCACATCTATGGCAGGCGTCCTCAGAGATTGTGAAGTCTGTTGGAAACTAGGCAAGTGGGGGTTAGGTATCTGTGGAATGATGTCCAAGGTAGGAGAAAGAACCCTTGTCTGCTTGATGCAAGTGGGAATGTTGCAATGGGTTACCAGGCAGGAAGCAGCCAGGCTTTGAAGCTGAAAGGACATTTAGTGCCAATTGCAACAGTCACACTTGCCTCAAGCAGATAAATGTTATAGTTGTCCCTCTGTGTCCATGGATACTCCATCCATGGATTCAATAGCCCTTTATAGGCAACCATGAGGCTCAAGTGGCCAGATAAATGTGCAATTCCAACACACCTCACAACCTCTGAGGAAGCCTGCCATAGATGTGGGGGAAGCGTCAGGAGAGAATGCTTCTGGAACATGGCCAGACAGCCCGGAAAACTCACAGACAGATATATAAACTCCACTTGCCTAGTTTCCAACACACCTCACAACCCCTGAGGATGTGTGGGGGAAACATCAGGAGAGAATGCTTCTGGAACATGGCCGGACAGCCCGAAAAACTCACAAACATATATATAAACTCCATTTGGCTAGTTTCCAACACACCTCACAACCTCTGAGGAGGCCTGCCATGGATGTGGGTGAAACGTCAGGAGAGAATGCTTCTGCAACATGGCCGGACAGCCCGGAAAACTCACAGACAGATATATAAACTCAATTTGCCTAGATTCCAACAGACCTCACAACCTCTGAAGATGCCTGCCATGGATGTGGGCGAAACGTCAGGAGAGAATGCTTCTGGAACATGGCAAACCAGTGATTTCAGCCATCAAAGCATTCAACAAAAAATACAATTTCCCTGAAAATAAGACAGTGTCTTATATTAATTTTTGCTCCCAAAGATGCGCTAGGTCTTATTTCCAGGGGATGCCTTATTTTTCCTTATTCACTCTTAAAAAGGAGCATTTGTGACCTGCTGACCAGTAGTTGCTTGCTGACCAGTCGTTGCCTGGCCACACTGGTGGCCTGACTCACACCAAGGCCACCAAAACCAGGGCTGTGAAGAGACGGGAGAAGATTCTTGGTGATTCTTGGAAGTCTTCGGGGCGTGGAGAACTCGGCCAAGCTCGGCCTCGGAGAACGGTCCCTCGGTCCGCCCAACTCAGAGGTCAAGGAGGTCGTTGAGAAGAAAGAAAGAGGCGCTCACTGGAAAAGGAAAGGAACCAGAGTCAGAGATTCCATGCCAATCACGCCAAGCAACAGTTCATATCACAACTTGGAAAAGTGACATTTTGACAGCAAATCCTGGGATCCAGAATGCTTCTTGGCTCTTCTAAACCAACAGGATGAGCCCGGGACTCCATCCCACGCGATAAGAAAAATGCTGATGATCGTGCCATCACCGCTCAAGCAGGGAGCTTTGAGATGGAAGAACAGAAGCTCTCCAAAGCTCTAGGTGCTCTTACTGCCTATTACAGGGAAAACCAGCTGATCCCTAATCATATATCATATATATAATATCACACAGGATGACCACCTCACCCGCCTCATAGGAAACCTGCCACAAAACAGGAGCTTCTTTGTTGAGTTCCAGGGCCAGAGAAGCAGATGGCGGAAACAGAAGAACGGCCTGCCTCAGGGGAGCGTGCTTGCTCCATCCATGTTCAACATCTACACAAATGACCAGCCACTGCCAGAAGGGACAGAGAGTTTCATCTATGCTGATGATCGTGCCATTACCACTCAAGCAAGGAGCTTTGAGATGGTTGAAAAGAAGCTTTCCGAAGCTCTAGGTGCTCTTACTGCCTATTACAGGGAAAACCAACTGATCCCTAATCCATCTAAAACACAGACATGTGCCTTTCACCTCAAGAACAGACAAGCATCCCGAGCTCTGAGGATTATTACCTGGGAAGGAATCCCACTGGAGCATTGCAGCGCACCCAAATACCTGGAGGAGTCACTCTGGACCGTGCTCTGACCTACAAGAAGCACTGCCTGAACATCAAGCAAAAAGTGGGTGCTAGAAACAATATCATACGAAAGCTGACTGGCACAACCTGGGGATCACAACCAGACACAGTGAAGACATCTTCCCTTGCACTGTGCTACTCTGCTGCTGAGTACACATGCCAGTGTGGAACAACCAGTCAAATTATATTACATTTCTAACAGAAAAAAAAACAAAAAAAAAGTTTTTTTTTTTTAGGTGGGGGGCTGGGGATGTGGCTCTGAATGAGACATGCTGCATTATCAGGGGTGACTGCGCCCTACACCACTGGAGAAATACACTGCTTAGCCGGTATTGCACCACCTGACATCCGCCGGGAAGTAGCAGCCAATAGTGAAAGGACCAAGGCAGAGACATCTCCAGCTCATCCCCTGTTTGGGTATCAGCCAGCACGTCAACGACTTAAATCTAGACATAGTTTTCTAAGATCTACAGAGACACTCGCTGGAACACCTCAGCAAGCGAGAGTCCAAAAGTGGCAGGCTCAAACCCAGCACCTCAAACTGAGAGACTCCCTCCTGGGCACACAGAAGACTGGGCGACTTGGAAGGCGCTGAACAGACTGCGCTCTGGCACCATGAGATGCAGAGCCAACCTTCAGAAATGGGGCCACAAAGTGGAATCCACGACATGCGAGTGTGGAGGAGAGCCAACCACTGACCACCTGCTGCAATGCACCCTGAGCCCTTCTTCCACATGATGCACAAGGGAGGACCTCCTTGCGGCCACACCAGAGGCACTCCAAGGGGACAGAGACTGGTCAAAGGACATCTAATCAGCTACCAAGTTTGCAAATTCTGTGTTTTGTCTGTTTGTTTGCTTTGTTCTGTTAGAAATGTCATACAATTGACTGGTTGCCACTGACACGATAAATGAATAAAATAGTAAAATGCTGGGGTCATCGTTTTTGGATTAAGACTTGGCTGGAAACTAAAGAGGTGGTTTTCCTTCCCATGCGTCACATGCATTTCCTCGCTCTGCTTCCTTTCAAATGATCCATGTGTTTCCCCATCACACGGGAGGCATCGTTCTTCTCCCAGCGTCTCCTCCCATTTCCTTTTTGGTAGGAAAAAAATTCCTCTTTGTTTTTTCTCTCTCACAGAAATACTTTTTAACATGGGTTCACATTATGTACTTATTTATTTACTAGCCGTCCCCTGCCACGCATTGCTGTGGCCCAGTCTGTTGATCTGGAAAATAAAGTAACGAGAAGGCTTTCATGTATTGTCGAAGGCTTTCATGGCCGGAATCACTGGGTTGTTGTAGGTTTTTTCGGGCTGTATGGCCATGTTCTAGAGGCATGCTCTCTGACGTTTCGCCTGCATCTATGGCAAGCATCCTCAGAGGTTGTGAGGTCTGTTGGAACTAGGAAATGGGTTTATATATATCTGTGGAATGACCAGGGTGGGACAAAGGACTCTTGTCTGCTGGAACTAGGTGGGAAAGTTTCAACTGACCATCTTGATTATCAAAACCCTACACAGCTCTGGCCCAGCGTACCTGTCCGAACGTATCTCCTTCTATGTCCCACCTTGGGGTTTAAGATCTTCTGGGGAGGCCCTGCTCTCGGCCCCACCTTTATCACAAGTGAGACTGGTGGGGACGAGGGACAGGGCCTTCTCGGTGGTGGCCCCTCGCCTGTGGAATTCACTCCCCGGGGAAATCAGGTCGCCAACATCTCTCCTCTCCCTCAGAAGGAAGCTGAAGACATGGATATGGGACCAGGCCTTTGGGTAATCTGGCAGACTGACAAGGTAATGATGACTAGAGTTGGAAAGGACTATGGCAATGCTGAATGGATTGACGGATTTTAGAACTCGATGATCGGTTTTTAGTTGATATTGTATTAATTGTATGTTTTTAACTATTGTGTTTATTGTTACTGCATTTTTTTTGTAATTGATGGCATTGAATTGTGCCGGATGTAAGCCGCCCTGAGTCCCCCCAAGGGGGTGAGAAGGGCGAAATAATTAAATAAATAAACAAACAAACAAATAATGGCCTGGCAGTGCCTGGAGCAATCTTTTGTTGAGAGGTGATTAGATGTCCTTGTTTGTTTCCTCTCTGTTGTTGTGCTGTTGTGATTTTAGGGTTACAGCCATAGCAGAGCTCCTGAGGAACCCACCTGGACACAGCATAGTATTTGAGAACACAGAAGTGCTGGACCACTCTCACAACCACCAGGTCAGGCAACACAGAGAAGCCATTGAAATCCACAAGAAGCATGTGGACAATTTCAACAGAAAGGAAGAGACCATGAAAATGAACAAAATCTGGCTACCAGTATTAAAAAAAACTCTAAAATTACAATAGTACAACAACAGAGAGGAAACAAACAAGGACATCTAATCACCTCTCAACAAAAGATTGCCCCAGGCACTGCCAGGCCATTATATGCTAATCAAGGTGGTCAGTTGAAACATTCACACCTAGCTCCAGCAGACAAGAGTCCTTTGTCCCACCCTGGTCATTCCACAGATATATAAACCCTTTTTCCTAGTTCCAACAGACCTCACTACCTCTGCGGATGCTTGCCATAGATGCAGGCGAAACGTCAGGAGAGAATGCCTCTAGAGCACAGCCAATCAAAAATGCTAATCAAGGTGGTCAGTTGAAACATTCACACCTAGCTCCAGCAGACAAGAGTTCTTTGCCCCACCCTGGTCATTCCACAGATATATAAACCCTTTTTCCTAGTTCCAACAGACCTCACTACCTCTGAGGATGCTTGCCATAGATGCAGGCGAAATGTCAGGAGAGAATGCTTCTAGAACAAGGCCATATAGCCCGGAAAAACCTACAACAACCTAACGAGAAAGTGTTGGTTACTAATCTATGCAATGTCTGTCTGCTTGTGGGTAAACAGTATTTCTTGTTGTTTCTTTGTCAGTGTTGATGTTGGCCACCTATGGACCCACCACCAGGACACCACACTTGGGGGACAATCTGACTCGGACAACGAGGGATGACCGAAGTCAGTCGGGCCCTTGGTGGGACTGGAGTGACTCTGTCTCAACAGCAACAAAACTGCGACTGAGGCACTCACCATGAAGCCATCTTCAGATTCCTCGGAGCTGCTGATCATGATGCTGGCGGGCTCTGCAAGCAGAGGAAGGACAGTCAGCACCACAAGCAACCACATACACAACAAGGAGATGCTGGGTCCAGGAAGTCTTCAGAGAAGCACTGGCTCCATCTCCCATTGGGCTTCATTGGGCTTCTCCGTTTGGACTCAACTCACATCTTGTTTATTGCTGTTATTGTGCACTGTTCTGTATCGGTGGAGTTCAGAATGCTCTTTGATTGTAGGTGAACTATACATCCCAGCAAGTACAATTCCCACGTGTTTATTTCCCCCAAACTCCACCAGTGTTTACATTTGGGTATATTAAGTATTCCTGCCAATTTTGGTCCAGATCCATCATTGTTTGAGTCCACAGCACTCCCTGGATGTAGATGAACTACAACTCCCAAACTCAAGGTCAATGCCCACCAAACAGTTCCAGTATTTTCTGTTGGCCCTGCAAGTTCTGTGTACCAAGGTTAGTCCAATTCCATCATTGGCGGAGTTCAGAATGCTCTTTGATTGTATGTAAACTATAAATCCCAGTAACTCCAAGTCCCAAATGTCAAGGTCTATTTTCCCCAAACTCCACCAGTGTTCACATTTGGGCATATTGAGTACTCATGCCAAGTTTGGTCCGGATCTATCATGGTTTGAGTCCGTGGGACTCCCTGGATGTAGGTGAACTAAAACTCCCAAACTCAAGGTCACTGTTCTGTATTGGTGGAGTTCAGAATGATTGACTGTAGGTGAACTATAAATCCCAGTTACTACATCTCCAAAAAATGTCAAGGTCTATTTTCCCCAAACTCCACCAGTGTTCACATTTGGGAATATTGAGTACTCATGCCAAGTTTGGTCCAGATCCGTCATTGTTTGAGTCCACAGTGCTCTCAGGATGGAGGTGAACTAAAACTCCCAAACTCAAGGTCAATGCCCATCAAACCCTTCCAGTATTTTCTGTTGGTCATGGGAGTTCTGTGTACCAAGGTTGGTCCAATTCCATTGTTGGTGGAGTTCAGAATGCTCTTTGATTGTATGTGAACTATAAATCCCAGTAACTACATCTCCCAAATGTCAGGGTCTATTTTCCCCAAACTCCACCAGTGTTCACATTTGGGCATATTGAGTACTCCTGCCAAGTTTGGTCCAGATCCATCATTGTTTGAGTCCACAGTGCTCTCAGGATGTAGGTGAACTATAATGCCAAAACTCAGTGCCCACCAAACTACAAATCCCAGCAACAACAACTCCCAAATGTCAAGGTCTACTTTCCCAAAACTCCACCAGTGTTCACATTTGGGCATATTGAGTACTCATGCCAAGTTTGGTCCAGATCCATCATTGTTTGAGTCACAGTGATCTCAGGATGTAGGTGAACTAATACTCCCAAACTCAAGGTCAATGGCCACCAAAAAATGTCAATATTTTCTTTTGGTCATGGGAGTTCTGTGTGGCCAAGTTTGGTCCAATTCCATTGTTGGTGGAGTTCAGAATGCTCTTTGATTGTAGGTGAACTATAAATCCCAGTAACTACATCTCCCAAATGTCAAGGTCTATTTTCCCCAAACTCCACCAGTGTTCACATTTGGGCATATTGAGCATCATGCCAAGTTTGTTCCAGATCCATCATTGTTTGAGTCCACAGTGCTCTCTGGATGTAGGTGAACTACAACTCCAAAACTCAAGGTCAATGTCCACCAAACCCTTCCAGTATTTTCTGTTTGTCATGGGAGAACTGTGTGCCAAGTTTGGTTCAATTCCATTGTTGGTGGAGTTCAGAATGCTCTTTGATACTAGATGAACTATAAGTCCCAGCTACACCAGGCGTGGGCAAACTTGGGCCCTCCAGGTGTTTTGGACTTCAACTCCCACTTCCTAACAGCCTGGTAGGCTGTTAGGAATTATGGGAGCTGAAGTCCAAAACACCTGGAGGGCCCAAGTTTGCCCAGGTATGGTGTACCTGTATCCCTGTTTGGACGTCCTCAAGATCTCCCCTTTGAAGACCCCACCCATGTCTTCGTTGCCTACCTTCGTCGCCATCCCCGTGTGAAGAGTTCTCCACCATCTCCACGGAAGGGACGTCTTCTCGCCGCTCTTTCTTCGGGGTGGAGCTTTGAGGAGGAGAAGGAGGAGGAGGCCGCGCGCTCCGAGGGACCTCCTGGACGTACCTGCTGGAGGTCTCCCCAGCCTCACCTTCACCGTCCTCCAGCTTCAGAGCCTTGGCGGAGGCTTGCACGCTCTTCTCGCTGTGGTTGAGGGAGCGCTTCAGCGGGGACGTGATGGACGGGACCTGCAGCGCAAGAGGAGAACGCCGGCGTCACAATCATCTCTTCCTTCTCAGGTGTGGAAGACAAGTGTGTCACAGGAAGACAGGTGTGACCAATGGAAAGATTTAGTGAGACTGCCTTGGGTGGACAACGGACAAAATCCTTCTACTCCACCATTTGTGGTTTCGACGTTGGTGGATTTGATTAGTCTATAGAAGCATTCTCTCCTGACGTTTCGCCCACATCTAAGGCAGGCATCCTCAAAGGTCGTGAGGTCTAAGCAGGTGGGGTTTATATACGAGGGTTGAATGAAAAGTAATGCCTCCACCTTTGTTACTTCTCAAGAGGTGGCAGTCCTGGTATGCAGCAGGTACTGGCTTGTTCAGTAGACTCTCCTCTACAGTTCCATTTGGGCAGGAAGCCTTAGCTTCCTGCCCAACGGTTGTGTTGTTAAAGTGCAAAGTATGGAACCCTGTGCTGTTAAAGTGCCAAGTATGGAACAACCTGCACAGATGGTTGGTCAATGCGACTTAAGCAATGTATGTGGCAGGTACTGGCTTGTTCAGTAGACTCTCATCTACAGTTCCATTTGGGCAAGAAGCCTTAGCATGGAACGGTTGTGTTGCTAAAGTGCCTAGTACGGAACCCTGCGCAACGGTTGTGTTGTTAAAGTACGAAGTATGGAACCCTGAGGTCAGTCAATGTGACTTAAGCAACGTATGCAGCAGGTACTGGCTCGTTCAGTAGACTCTCCTCTACAGTTCCATTTGGGCAGGAAGCCTTAGCATTGAATAGTTGTGTTGTTAAAGTACAAAGTATGGAACCCTGCGCAGACGGTCGGTCAGTGTGACTTAAGCAACGTATGTGGCAGGTACTGGCTTGTTCAGTAGACTCTCCTCTACAGTTCCTTTTGGGCGGGAAGCCTTAACATTGAATGGTTGTGTTGTTAAAGTGAGGAACCCTGCGCAGATGGTCAGTCAATGTGACTGTAGAGGAGAGTCTACTGAACAAGCCAGTACGCGGCAGGTACTGGCTTGTTCAGTAGACTCTCCTCTACAGTTCCATTTTGGTGGGAAGCCTTAGCATTGAACGGTTGTGTTGTTAAAGTGCGAAGTATGGAACCCTGCGGTCAATGCGACTTAAGCAACGTATGCGGCAGGTACTGGCTTGTTCAGTAGACTCTCCTCTACAGTTCCATTTTGGTGGGAAGCCTTAGCATTGAACGGTGGTGTTGTTAAAGTGTGAAGTATGGAACCCTGCGCAGATGGTTGGTCAATGTGACTGGCTTGTTCAGTAGACTCTCATTTACAATTCCATTTTAGCAGAAAGCCTTAGCATTGAACGGTTGTGTTGTTAAAGTGCGAAGTATGGAACCCTGCGCAGATGGTTGGTCAATGTGACTGGCTTGTTCAGTAGACTCTCCTCCACAGTTCCTAGAGTGTGTTTCTCCCCTTGGCCAGTTCAGTTCAGACCAAAACACAGGATAGAATCATTTCAGCTCTAGAAAGGAGAGCCCTGAAGACATGGAGGTCAAAGGAGGGTCGCGAGAAGGTCCTGCAGCAAACTTACCAATCCATGGAGCGTCTTGGCCAGGCTGATGGTGTACATGGGCGTGACCATCTTCATCCCCTGAGGCCGCCCTGCCGGGTTCTCCTCCTGAGTTGAAAAGCAAACAAAGGAAACACCCATCGGAGAGCGCCAATGCCAGGAAGGAGGCGGTTTACCTGGGTGCCTTGGGTGACTTCCCTGCAAAACTCACAGACTTGGAAATGATTTGATGCACATATTTTTACATACAGGGTCTAAACCCTAAAATACAAACATTTTGACCATCTTGTTTCATAGAATCCTAGAATCCTAGAAGAGTTGGAAGAGACCTCCTGGGCCATCATCCCGTCCAGCCCCATTCTGCCAAGAAGCAGGAATATTGCATTCAAATCACCCCTGACAGATGGCCATCCAGCCTCTGTTAAAAGCTTCCAAAGAAGGAGCCTCCACCACACTCCGGGGCAGAGAGTTCCACTGCTGAACGGCTCTCACAGTCAGGAAGTTCTTCCTCATGTTCAGATGGAATCTCCTCTCTTGTAGTTTGAAGCCATGGTTCCATTGCGTCCTAGTCTCCAGGGAAGCAGAAAACAAGCTTGCTCCCTCCTCCTCCCTGTGGCTTCCTCTCACATATTTATACATGGCTATCATATCTCCCCTCAGCCTTCTTCAGGCTAAACTTGCCCAGCTCCTTAAGCCGCTCCTCATAGGGCTTGTTCTCCAGACCCTTGATCATTTTAGTCGCCCTCCTCTGGACACATTCCAGCTTGTCAATATCTCTCTTGAATTGTGGTGCCCAGAATTGGACACAATATTCCAGGTGTGGTCTAACCAAAGCGGAATAGAGAATGGGGAGCATGACTTCCCTACATCTAGACACTAGGCTCCTCTTGATGCAGGCCAAAATCCCATTGGCTTTTTTTGCCGCCACATCACATTCCTGGCTCATGTTTAACTTGTTGTCCACGAGGACTCCAACATCTTTTTCACCAGCCAGGCCTCCTCGTCCCCCATTCTGTCTCTTTGCATTTAATTTTTCTGCCTAAGTGGAGTATCTTGCATTTGTCCCTGTTGAACTTCCTTGTGTTAGTTTTGGCCCTTCATCTCTCTAATCTGTCAAGATCCCTTTGAATCCTGCTCCTGTCCTCTGGAGTATTGGCTCTCCCTCCCCATTTGGTCCCGTCTGCAAACTTGATGATCCTGCCTTCTGGCCCTTCATCTCAGTCATGAATGAAGATCCTGAGCAGGACCGGGCCCAGGACGGAACCCTGCTTGTGGCACTCCACTCGTCCCTTCTTTCCAGGATGAAGAGGAGGAAGCCTTGGGGAGAATCACCCTCTGGGTTCGTCCATGTCACCAATTCCAGATCCACCTCACCCTAGTTTTGCCTCGCCCACCTTGGACTCGTTTCCTTGCCAGAAGGTCAGGGGGGACCTTGTCGAAGGCTTTGCCTAAGAAGACCCTACGGAATGTATGGGGTTGCCCTAAGTCGACCCTAAAAGGAACACACACACACAATAAGGAGCAAGCTTTGTGGCTCCCCAACAAGGGATGCCCCTCAGAGGAAGGGACACGGAGCAAAGCTACCGCCACTCGTAACTCACCGAATTGACCACCGGAAGAGTCGGGAGATAAGCAGGCTCCGTGCAACCAACTCCATCTGCAAGAAGGAAAGAGGGTGAGACTTGTCCTTTGTTCCAATGAGACTTGTGTCGAGTTTATGATGCCACACCTTGCTTTGTTGTTTTTGGCTCCTAAGGGTCGCCATGCCCATGGATCCACTCCCCATAGGTGTGGGTGTTAGACTCAAAATTCTTGTCATGTAAGTTGCTTTGAGAAAAGCGGGCTATAAATAAACATAATAAACATAATAATAATAATAATAATAATAATAATAATAATAATAATAATAGCATTGCTTTTACATGATACACAGGATTCTACCAATCTATAAAATAATCTATCAATATGTTGTTAACAACCTAATAAATAAACAACATTCACCCCTAGCTCCAGCAGACAAGAGTCCTTTGTCCCTCCCTGGCCATTCCACAGATACATAAACCCTTTTTCCTAGTTCCAACAGACCTCACTACCTCTGAGGATGCTTGCCATAGATGCAGGCGAAACATCAGGAGAAATTGCCTCTAGAACATGGCAGTATAGCCCGAAAAAACCTACAACAACCAACAACAACAACAACAATTCTTTATTGATTAGTCAATTTTGACCATATCAAAACCTGCAGGTACAAGAAGGTACTTTCCATCAAAAGGTCAAGGGAGAGGGGCTAGAAAGAGACCTCACAACCTCTGAGGATGCTTGCCATAGATGCAGGCGAAACGTCAGGAGAAAATGCTTCTAGAACATGGCCATATAGCCTGAAAAAACCTACAACAACCCACACATAGGAAGTAGTTGTGTTGTGGTTAAGCCAAAGGTTGTGGTTAAGCGCAGAGTCTGCAGGTACAAGAAGGTACTTTCCATCAAAAGGTCAAGGGAGAGGGGCTAGAAAGAGACCTCACGACCTTTGAGGATGCTTGCCATAGATGCAGGCAAAACGTCAGGAGAAAATGCCTCTAGAACATGGCCATATAGCCCGGAAAAACCTACAACAACCCAATAAACAACCTAGTTTGTGTCAGCCACAAAAACAAAGTTCCTGGAGTATAACAAGTGCTTTCAAAGTAAGTACCATGCAATTAAACAGGAAATAACACTTTCCAACCAGGAACAGAACATTTCCATAGTGTTATTCATCGATGCCAACTCAACGGCAATGTGCAACCTCCGTGGCATTGCCCACCAACCCACAATCCGGAGAAGACACAACCGAGAGACGTAGACCTGCTTACCCTCCTCTCCTTTGACTCTCCTGCAGAGAAGCCGGAGCTCGCTCTTGACGTCTGCAAAGTTCTCCATCTGGGCCTGGAACCCCACGGCCGGCACGGCCACCCCGCGGAGGTCCTCCAAAGACTCCTGGATGAAGGGGTGCAGGTCCATCACCTCTTGGTCCGACGCGAAGGCGTTCATCTTCTCCACCAACTGCTCGCTGGTCTCCATCCTCTGGACCACGCTCTCCGCGCTCTGCAGCTTCCTCTCGACGTCCTCGCGCTCTTGGCGGAGCCTCCTCTCCACCTTCTCCAGGAGTTCCTCCCCCTTCGCCTGGACCCAGTCCGTCATCTCTTTCACCTGGGCTTGGATCTGCTCCCGGGTGGCGTTGCGCACCTTCTCCATCTCCCGCAGCCTCTCGTGGATGGACTGGCAGGTCTCCTCGAAGCTCTTCTTCTTCTCCGACAGCAGCTCCTTCATCCGGCCCAGGTCTTCCTTCCGGTTCTCGATCTCCGTCCGGATGTCGCAGTACATCTTGGCGCCGTAGTGTTCGCTGTCCAGAATGGCGCAGGAGCAGCAGAAAGGCTTGCGGCATCCTCGGCAATAGAGGCTGTCAAGGCACAAGCAGAGCGGCGTGAGGACCAGAAAGAGGCCTCTAGCATTCTCTCCTGACGTTTCGCCTGCATCTATGCCGCAAGCATCCCTCAAGATCAAGGTAGCAGCCTCAAATGGCCCATCTTCTCACCGTTTTATGCCCTACAGCCGCTATAACCATATAAGCCCCGGCACAAAACCGTACAACAACCCATGTGATTCTAGGCCATGTGAAGCCATAATCAGCTTTAGCGGTTTGACTGAGGGGCAAAAGGCATAGGGCCTCCTGTGCAGAGCTGCCTTCACTCTGAGGATGCCTTGCCATAGTCATGCCAGGCGAAAACGTCTAAGGAGAGGATATGCTATAGAATGGGACACTGCCAAAGGGGCCAATAAGGTGTGTCCCCCAAAAGGAAGGTGGCCCTTAGGCATGCTACCTCTGAGGCTCCAATGCTCTGCTCATAGATGCGAGGCACGAAACGCTCAGGAGAGGAAAGCTAGATTGCCGCATGCAGGCAAAAGGGGCAAAAGGACAAAGGTGCCTAGCAGCTCACTACCTCTGAGGATGTTTGCCATAGATGCAGGCGAAATGTCAGGACAAGCCAGGCACTGTCAGGCCATTATATGCTAATCAAGGTGGTCAGTTGAAATATTCACACCTAGCTCCAGCAGACAAGAGTCCTTTGTCCCACCCTGGTCATTCCACAGATATATAAACCCTTTTTCCTAGTTCCAACAGACCTCACTACCTCTGAGGATGCTTGCCATAGATGCAGGCGAAACGTCAGGAGAGAATGCCTCTGGAACATGGCCATATAGCCCGGAAAAACCTACAACAACCCAGTGATTCCGGCCATGAAAGCCTTCGACAATACACCGTTGTTGTTGTTGTTGAGTCCTATTGCACCCTCAATATACAGGACACTTTACTTATAAAACAACAACAAATAGTCTTTGTTGGAAATGGCAACTTCCCAAGCCTTTCGCTATTGAGTTGTTAACTAGTTGTACCCGCCACGCAATGTTGTGGCCAACCTCCCCTCCCTCTTTCTCCTCTTCTTTCGTTCTCTCCTTCCTTCCTTCCTTCCTTCCCCCTTTTTCTTTCCCTCCCTCCCTCTTTCTTTCTTTCCTTCTCTCTTGCTTTCCTTTCCTCCCTCTTTCTCTTCTTTCTTCCTTCGCTGCCTCTTCCTTCCCTCTTTCTTTCCTTTCCTCCTTCTCTTCTTTCTTCCTTCTCTACCTCTTTCTTGCCTTCCTTTCTCCTCTTTCCTTCCTTCACTCTTTCTTTCTCTTTTCTTCCTTCTCTACCTCTATTTTTCCTTCCTTCCTTTCCCTTCTTTCTTCCTTCCTTCTTCCTTTCTTCCTCCTTCCTTTCCTCCTCCTTTCTCTTCTTCTTCCTCTTCTTCCTTCTCTTTCCTTCCTTTCTTCTCTCTTTCCTTCCTCCCTCCTTCCTTCTTTCTTCCTTCTCTCCTCTTTCCTTCCTTCTTCCCTCCTTCTTTTTCTCTTTCTCTTCCTTCTTCCTTCCCTTTCCTTTCTCTCCCTTTCTCTCTTTCTTCCTTCCTCCTCTTCCTTTCCTTCCTTCCTTCTCTCTTTCTTTCCTCCCCCCTTTTCTTTCTCTCTTTTCTTCTCCTTCTTCCTCTCTAATTCTTTCCTTCCTTCCTTCCTCCTTCTTTTCCTTCTTTCTTCTTTCTTCCTTTCTTCTCTCCTTCTTTCCTTTTCTTCCTTCCTCTTCCCCTTCTTCTTTCTCCCTTCTCTACCTATTTCTTTTCTTGCTTCCTTTGCTGTTTGGTTCCATCTTTCCTTGTCTCTTCCTTCCTCCTCTTTCTCCTTCCCTCCTCCTCTCCTTCCTTCCTTCCTTTTCCTTCCTTCCTCTTTCCTTCTCTTCTCTCCTTCCTTCCTTCCTTCCCCTTCCTTCCTTCCTTCCTTCCTTCCTTCCTCCTTCCCTTCCTTCCTTTCTCTCTTCTTCCTTCCTTCCTTCTCTTCCTCTTCCCTTCCTCCCTCCCTCTTTCTTCCTTTCTTCTTCTTCTTTCTTTCCTTCTTTCCTTCTTCTTTCCTTCCTTCTCTTCCTCTTCTTCTCTTTCTTTCCTTCCTTCCTTCCTTCTCTTTTCCTTCCTTCCTCTTTTCTCTCTTTTCTTCCTTCTCTATCTCTTCCTTTCCTTCCTTTCTTCCTTCCTTCCCTCCCTCTTTCTCTCTTTCTTCCTTCTCTCTCTCTTCCTTTCCTTCCTTCTCCTTTCCTTCCTTCTTCTTTCTTCCTTCCCTCCTCTTTCTTTTCTTCCTTCCCTTCCCTTCCTTCTTCCTTCTTTCCTTCCTTCTTTATTTTATTCCTTCTCTATTCTTCTTTCCTTCCTTCTCCCTTTTCCTTCCCCTTTTTTTTTCCCCTTCCCCTTTCTTCTTTTCTTCCTTCTCTATCTCTTCCTTTCCTTCCTTTTTCTCTCTTTCCTTCCTTCCCTCCCTCTTTCTCTACTTTCTTCCTTCTCTGACCTCTTCCTTTCCTTCCTTCCTTCCTTCCCTCTTTCCTTCCTTCTCTACCTCTTTCTTTCCTTCCTTTTTTGCCCTTTGATTCTATCCTCCCTTCTCTCTTTCCTTTCTTCCCTCCCTCTTTCTCTTCTCCTTTCCTTCTCTCCTTCTCTCTCTTTCTTTCCCTCCTTTTCTTTTTTCTTTCCTTCTCTCCTTCCTTCTCTACCTTTCTTTACTTCCTTCCTTCCTTCCTTCCTTCCTTCCTTCCTTCCTTCCTTCCTTCCTTCCTTCTTTCCTTCCTTCCAATAGTCTGCAGTAGGAATGTAGTCTGGCACCACGTTGACTGCCACGGCCCAATTTTATGGAATGGTAGGAGTTATAATGTTGAGTGCGCCCTTACCTTACGAGCTGGTCGCTATGGGCGGGGTCCGAGCAGAAGAAGCGGCTGGACCTCCGCGTCCCCTCCAGGAAGCTCAGGGCCGTTTCGCTCTTCACGTCGCTCAGCTTTTGGGCCTCGTGGCTCTTCTGCTTCAGGTACCACTGGTGCGCGTCGTAGCACGCCTGGCAGAGGAACTCCTCGCACTCGGAGCACCAGAACCCGGCCTCCCCTTGGCAGCGGTCGCACACCAAGTCCTGGCTGTCGGCAATCTTCCGGTAGGTGGTCAGCTTGGCCTGCAGGTGGGCAAAGAGCAGGTTGTCCTGGACGGGGGCCCCGCCCTGCCTCTGGATGGCCACCTTGCAAGAGGGGCACTGGCCGATGGGCTTGCTCTCGTGCAGGCATTCCATGCAAAAGGTGTGCAGGCAAGGCAAGAGCTTGGGGTCCTTGGCCTCCTTCTTGCACGCCTGGCATCTCAGGAACTGGAAATCCTCCTCCATGCCCTGGAAGAAAGGAGCGGGAAGCGGGTGGGGGGGAGCGTCAAGGATCATTCAGAATACCTTGGGCAACCGGGTATCCCAGCGCAAGAGAATCCAGTCATCCCTTGCAAGTATCCAAATGCAGGAAAAACCAGTTATCCTAACGCAGGATGAACTGTTTACCCCAATGCAAGATGGACAGGTTATCCCTTTGCAATTATCCAAATGCAGGAAAAATGAGTTATCCTAACGCAGGATGAACTAGTTATCCCAATGCAAGATGGACCAGTCATCACAACACAAGATGGACCTGTTATCCCAATGTAAGAAGAACTGTTTATCTCAATGCAAGATGGATTAGTTATCCCAATGCAAGACTAAGTGTTTAAGAGTTCCAGCAGAGACCAGCCAACTCCTCTCCAATGCCAGCGATACAGCTTCATGGTGGAACATTAGAACATGTGGACCATTTCCGCTCCCTTGGCAGCCGCCTCTCCACCAAAGTCAACATCGACACTGAAATACCACACTGCCTAAGCTCTGCGAGTGCAGCATTTTTCCAAATGAAGCAGAGAGTGTTTGAGGACTGGGACATCCGTAGGGAGACCAAGGGGCTTGTCTATAAAGCTATTCCCCTCCCAACGCTGCTCTATGCCTGCGAAACGTGGACTGTCTACAGACGTCACATGCAACTCCTGGAACAATTCCAACAGCGCTGCCTCCGGAAAATCCTGCAAATCTCTTGGGAAGACAAACGGACAAACGTCAGCGTGGTGGAAGAAGCAAAGACCACCAGCATCGAAGCAATGGGCCTCTGCCATCAACTTTGCTGGACTGGCCACATTGTCCGGATGCTTGACCACCATCTTCCAAAGCAGTTGCTCTATTCCGAACTCAAGAACGGAAAACGGAACGTTGTCGGACAGGAAAGGAGATTGAAAGATGGGCTCAAAGCCAAACTTAAAAACTCTGGCATAGACACTGGGAACTGGGAAGCCCTGGCCCTTGAGCACTCCAGCTGGAGGTCAGCTGTGACCAGCAGTGCTGTAGAACACAAGATGGACCAGTTACCCCAACACAAGATGGACCAGTTACCCCAATACAAGATGGACCAGTTATCCCAATGCAAGATAGACCAGTTATCCCAATGCAAGACAGACCAGTCATCCCAACACAAGATGGACCAGTTACCCCAACACAAGACGAACTGTGTATCCCAATGCAAGATGGACCAGTTATCCCAACACAAGACGGACCAGTTATCCCAATTCAAGATGGACTAGTTATCCCAACACAAGACAGACCAGTTATCCCAATTCAAGATGGACCAGTTATCCTCAAGCCAACCCCGACCGGGACCGCCTTCCACCTGGAAACCAATGCCCTCCTCACTGTGGGAGAAGATGCAGACCACTTTACCTGGAATATTGTGTCCAATTCTGGGCACCACAATTCAAGAGAGAGATTGACTCTAAGCTGGAATGTGTCCAGAGGAGGGCGACTCAAATGATCAAGGGTCTGGAGAACAAGCCCTATGAGGAGCGGCTTAAGGAGCTGGGCATGTTTAGCCTGAAGAAGAGAAGGCTGAGAGGAGATATGATAGCCATGTATAAATATGTGAGAGGAAGCCACCGGGAGGAGGGAGCAGATCAGGGGTCTGAAGAACAAGTCCTATGAGGAGTGGCTTAAGGAGCTGGGCATGTTTAGCCTGAAGAAGAGAAGGCTGAGAGGAGACATGATGAGGGCCATGTATAAATATGTGAGAGGAAGCCACAATGAGGAGGAGGGAGGTCCTGACCACAATGTCAGAATTGAGTAGGGCAACCTTTTTAACTTGGCGAATAGTTCTTACATGTGATTTCGTTTTTTGGGAGAGCCTTTTCGTCCTCCCGCCCGCCCGGCCCAGCCATTTCCTCTGGCTGGCTGGCAGGGAGTGTTTCCCTTTCAGTTGCAAAAGACTTCTCCTCGTTCTTGTGGATTTGCAGATTCCGGGGTCATTGGCTTCCTTTTGTCCCTCCCTCGGGGGTGGGCCCCACAGGGACCCCATTGAAACAACCCCCTGGTTGGAATGCCTTCCTTTCAGGCCTTGCACAAGACGCTTGCTTTTTTAGTCTTATTACACAGCAGATTAAACCGCTGAACTGCTAAACTTGCTGACCGAAAGGTCGCAGGTTCGAATCCAGGAAGCGGGGTGAGCTTCCTCTGTTAGCCCCAGCTGAGGAGCCCCCACTGGCACAATGGGTTAAACCCTCATGCCGGCAGAACTGAAGACCGACAGGTCATAGGTTCAAATCTGGGGAGAGCGCAGATGAGCTCCCTCTGTCAGCTCCAGCTCCCCATGCAAAGGGGACATCAGAGAAGCCTCCCACAAGGTTGGTAAAACATCAAAACATCTGGGCAACGTCCTCTGGGCAACATCCTTGCAGACAGCCAATTAGGAAGAACTTCCTGACTGTGAGAGCCGTTCAGCAGTGGAACTCTCTGCCCCGGGGTGTGGTGGAGGCTCCTTCTTTGGAAGCTTTGAAACAGAGGCTGGATGGCCATCTGTCAGGAGTGATTTGAATGCAATATTCCTGTTTCTTGGCAGAATCGGGTTGGACTAGATCGCCCATGAATCCAGGGAGCGGGGTGAGCTTCTGCTGTTAGCCCCAGCTGAGGAGCCCCCAGAGGCACAATGGGTTAAACCCTCATGCCGGTAGAACTGAAGACCGACAGGTCATAGGTTTGTTTCAACTGACCGCCTTGATTAGCATTTGATGGCCTGGCAGTGCCTGGGGCAATCTTTTGTTGAGAGGTGATTAGATGTCCTTGTTAAAATTTCAACAGCACAACAACAGAGAGGAAACAATCTGGGAATCTAATCACCTCTCAACAAAAGTTTGCTCCAGGCTCTATCAGGCCATTACATGCTAATCAAGGTGGTCAGTTGAAACATTCACCCCTAGCTCCAGCAGACAAGAGTCCTTTGTCACACCCTGGTCATTCCACAGATATATAAACCCTTTTTCCTAGTTCCAACAGACCTCACTCCCTCTGAGGATGCTTGCCACAGATGCAGGCAAAACGTCAGGAGAGAATGCCTCTAGACCATGGCCATATAGCCCGAAAAAACCTACAACAACCCAACTTGTAGTTTCTCAAGCTGCTCCTGACATGAAAAAAAAAGCCCCAGCTTCTGCCAACCTAGCAGTTTGAAAACATGCAAATGTGAGTAGATCAATAGGTACCGCTTATGCGGGAAGGTAATGGCGCTCCATGCAGTCATGCCGGCCACAAGACCTTGGAAGTGTCTAAGGACAACGCCGGCTCTTTTGCTTAGAAATGGAGATGAGGACCAGAGTCCCAGAAACAGGGCTAACGATCATAAAAATGATAAATAATTATAACTGATAATTAGTTTTAATTATTGATCATGATTAAAAATAAATAATAATTGATAATAATAAATAAATAAATGATAATAAATAGATAATAATACTTCATATTGAAAATAAATAATAATAATTGATAATAATGATACATAAGTGATAATTATTATAGTTATTGATAATAATTAAATATAATAAATAAGTATTATCAATAATTGATAATGAAATGATAAAATTATATTTATAATCATTATATAATAAATATTATATAATATTATATAATAATTATAATTATTTATAATAATTAAAATAATTCATAATAATAATTGATAATGATAATGTGATTATTATTTGCAATTATTAATTATTATTAGTATTATTAATTGCATAATAAATAAATATAATATAATTATATAAAATTATTATTATTATTTATAATAATTTAAAAAATACACAATAATAATCAATAATTATAATATGTGATTATTATTTGCAATTATTAATTATTAGTAGCATTATTAATTACATAATAAATATAATATAATAATAATTATATAAAATAACAATTATTATTTATAATAATTAAAATAATTCATAATAATAATTACTAATGATAATATGTGATTATTTTTTGTAATTATTAATTATTAGTAGTATTATTAATTACATAATAAATATAATATAATAATAAATATAAAATAACAATAATTATTTATAATAATTAAAATAATTCATAACAATAATTGATCATGATAATATATGATTATTATTTGCAATTATTAATTATTATTATTAGTATTATTAATTACATAATAAATATAATAATTATTATATAAAATAACATTATTTATAATAATTAAAATAATTCATAATAATAATTGATGATAATATGTGATTATTATTTGCAATTATTAATTATTAGTAGTATTATTAATTACATCATAAATATAATATAATAATAATGATATAAAATAACAATTATTATTTAATAAATATAATATAATATAACTGTATAAAGTAACAATAATTATTTATAATAATTAAAATAATTCAGAATAATTGATAATAGTAATGATAAATAATATTAATATTTGCAATTATTAATTATTATTAGTAGTATTATTATGTTATTATTATTTGCAATTATTATTAGCATTATTAATTACATAATAAATATAATATAGTAATAATTATATAAAATAATAACAATTATTTATAATAATTTAAATAATTCAAAATAATAATTGATAATAATAATGATGATAAAATGTTGTTAATATTTGCAATTATTAATTATTATTATTAGTAGTATTATTATTATTAATGTAAACACATATCCCTGAACTGAAGAAGCTGCAAAGGGCATGGAATCAGGTCTTGTCCTGGGTGAACTCCATGCAGGGCGGGACTACAATGCCCATCACCCACTGCCATTGGGTCTGCTGGCTCAATCTGCCTTTCCCACATTGCCTAGTAGTGAATGCAGTTGGACCCTACTTGGTCCTGATGGGGGTCAGCGCGGTAGGATGATGGGAGTTGTAGTCTCCCCTTGGGCAGAGAAGGAGAAAGACCTTGCAAGGCTGCAACTCCCACCATCCCGGCCAGCCTGGCCCCAGGGAAGTTGCAAGAGGGGCCAAGGGGAAGAGGCGCGTGCATTGACCCAGGTGCACGTCTGAATGGGAGGCCGAACCCGTGTCTCACCCACCCAACCCCCCAGCCCATCATGAGCAGCCTTGCAAAGGACTTACCTTGGAGAACAAAGCCCCTTTCCCTTTCCCTTTCCCTTTCCCTTTCCCTTTCCCTTTCCCCTTCCCTTCCTGCTGCTCCTTGTGGGGCTCCCAACCGGGAAGCGGGTCCCTCTGATCCTCTGATCCGGATCGAGAGAGAGGCGTTCGTTCACACGGGAAGGGGATCCGCGGTTTCGTTTCCTTCTCCCGAGTGACGGAGCCACGAAAGAGGAGGAGGAGGGGGAGGGGGAGGGGAGGGGGCGGCCCGGGAGAGAAACACACCCCCAGGAAAAAGGAGGGGAAACCCGCCCCTTCCTTCCTTTTCGGGGGGAACTACAACTCCCAGGGTGCCCCCAAACAACGTGGCTAGTGGACCAAGGCTTGACCAGCCGGAAGCGCTGCCTCGCTGTGAGTTTTCTGGGCTGCCTGGCTATGTCCCGGCAGCACGCTCTCCTGACTTTTCGCCTGCATCTGTAGCCTGGGGTTCTGTTGGCAGTCAAGCAAGTGTGTGTGTGTGTGTGTGTGTGTGTATATACACACACCTGTGGGATATACCTGTGGGATGGCTTGACCAGCCGGAAGTGCCGCCTTGCTGAGAGTTTTCTGGGCTGCCTGGCCATGTCCCAGCAGCACGCCCTCCTGACCTTTCGCCTGCATCTGTAGCCTGGGGTTCTGTTGGCAGTCAAGCAAGTGTGTGTGTGTGTGTGTGTGTGTATATACACACACCTGTGGGATATACCTGTGGGATGGCTTGACCAGCCGGAAGTGCCGCCTTGCTGAGAGTTTTCTGGGCTGCCTGGCCATGTCCCAGAAGCACATTCTCTCCTGACCTTTCGCCTGCATCTGTGGCATGGGGTTCTGTTGGCAGTCAAGCAAGTGTGTGTGTGTGTGTGTGTGTATATACACACACCTGTGGGATATACCTGTGGGATGGCTTGACCAGCCGGAAGTGCTGCCTTGCTGAGAGATTTCTGAGCTGCCTGGCCATGTCCCAGTAGCACGCCCTCCTGACCTTTCGCCTGCATCTGTGGCCAATGGCACCCTCAGGAGTTCTGTTGGCAGTCAAGCAAGTGCTGTGTGTGTGTGTGTGTTGTTGTTGTTCACTCGTTCAGTCGTCTCCGACTCTTCGTGACCTCCTGGACCAGCCCACGCCAGAGCTCCCTGTCGGCCGTCACCACCCCCAGCTCCTTCAAGGTCAGTCCAGTCACTTCAAGGATGCCATCCATCCATCTTGCCCTTGGTCGGTCCCTCTTCTCTTTTCCTTCCATTTTCCCCAGCATCATTGTCTTCTCCCTGTCTTCTCATGATGTGGCCAAAGTACTTCAACTTTGTCTCTAGTATCTTTCCCTCCAGTGAGCAGTCGGGCTTTATTTCCTGGAGGATGGACTGGTTGGATCTTCTCGCAGTCCAAGGCACTCTCAGAACTTTCCTCCAACACCACAGCTCAAAAGCATCTCTCTTCCTTCGCTCAGCCTTCCCTAAGGTCCAGCTCTCACATCCGTAGGTGACTACAGGGAAGACCATGGCTTTGACTAGGCAATGGATCTTGGTTGCCAGTCTGATGTCTCTACTCTTGACTATTTTATCGAGACTGGACATTGCTCTCCTCCCAAGAAGGAAGCGTCTTCTGATTTCCTGGCCACAGTCTGCATCTGCAGTAATCTTTGCCCCTAGAAATACAAAGTCTGTCACGGCCTCCACGGTTTCTCCCTCTATTTTCCAGTTGTCAATCATTCTTGTTGCCATAATCTTGGTTTTTTTGACGTTTAGCTGCAACCCGGCTTTTGCGCTTTCTTCTTTCACCTTGATTAGAAGGCTCCTCAGCTCCTCCTCGCTTTCGGCCATCAGAGTGGTGTCATCTGCATATCTGAGGTTGTTAATGTTTCTTCCAGCCATTTTCACCCCAGCTTTGCATTCATCCAGCCCCGCACATCCTCGCATGATGTGTTCTGCATACAAGTTAAAAAGGTTGGGGGAGAGGATGCAGCCTTGCCGGACGCCTTTCCCAATCTTGAACCCGTCTCCTGTTCCGTGGTCAGTTCTGACTGTTGCTCCTTGGTCCTTGTACAGATTCCTCAGGAGAGAGGGAAGGGGGCTTGGGATGCCCATCCCACTAAGAACTTGCCACAATTTATTATGATCCACACAGTCAAAGGCTTTAGAAGAGTCAATGAAGCAGAAGGAGATGTTTTTCTGAAACTCCCTGCCTTTCTCCATTCTCCAGCATCCGGATATTGGCAATCTGGTCTCTGGTTCCTCTGCCTTTTCTAAACCCAGCTTGAACATCTGGCCACTCTCACTCCATGTCTTGCTGGATTCTTCCTTGAAGGATCTTGAGCATTACCTTACTGGCATGATGAGAAATAAGGGCCACTGTACGGAAGTTGGAGCAGTCTTTCGCATTTCCCTTTTTTGGTATGGGGATAGAAGTTGATTTTTTCCAGTCTGATGGCCATTCTTGTGTTTTCCATATTTGCTGGCATATGGCATGCATCACCTTGACAGCATCATCTTTTAAGATTTTAAACAGTTCAGCTGGGATCCCGTCGTCTCCTGCTGCCTTGTTGTTAGCAATGCTTCTTAAGGCCCATTCCACCTCACTCCTCAGGATGTCTGGTTCTAATTCATTCACCACACCGTCAAAGCTATCCTCAATATTATTATCCTTCCTATACAGATCTTCTGTATAGTCTCGCCACCTTCTCTTGATCTCTTCAGCTTCTGTTAGGTCCCTGCCATCTTTGTTTCTTATCATACCAATTTTTGCCTGAAATTTACCTCCAATGTTTCTAATTTTCTGGAAGAGGTCTCTTGTCCTCCTATTCTGTTGTCTTCTTCCACTTCCATGCATTGCTTATTTAAAAATAGTTCCTTATCTCTTCTGGCTAACCTCTGGAATTGCGCATTTAACTGGGCATATCTCCCCATATCCCTGTTTCCTTTTGCTTTCCTCCTTTCTTGGGCTACTTCCAGTGTCTCAGCAGACAACCATTTTGCCTTCTTGGTTTTCTTTTTCTTTGGGACGTACTTTGTTGCCGCCTCCTGAACAATGTCTTGACTTCTGTCCATAGTTCTTCTGGGACTCTGTTTACTAAATCTAGTCCTTCAAATCTGTTCTTCACTTCCACTGTATATTCGCTAGGAATGTTAGTGAGATCATATCTAACTGGTCTGTGTATTTTCCCCGATCTCTTTAGTTTTATTCTAAATTGGGCAATAAGAAGTTCGTGATCTGAGCTACAGTCAGCCCCAGGTCTTGTTTGTATATATATATATATATATATATATATATATATATATATATATCCCACAGGTATATCCCACAGGTGTGTGTGTGTATATATGTGTGTGTGTGTGTGTGTGTGTGTGTGTGTGTGTATATATATATATATCCCACAAGTATATCCCACAGGTGTGTGTATATATATATGTGTGTGTGTGTGTGTGTGTGTATGTATATATATATATATATATATATATATATATATATATATCCCACAGGTATATCCCACAGGTGTGTGTGTACATATATGTGTGTGTGTGTGTGTGTGTGTGTGTGTGTGTATATATATATATATATATATATATATATCCCACAGGTATATCCCACAGGTGTGTGTGTGTGTGTGTGTGTGTGTGTGTGTACATATATATATATATATATATATATATATATATATATATATATATATATATACACACATACATACACACACACACACACACACACACACACACACTTGATATACCTGTGGATAATGTCCAGGGTGGGAGGAAGAACCCTTGCCTGTTTGAAGCAAGTGTGCAGATTGCAATGAGCAAACTGGATTAGCATGGAGTAGCCATGAAGTTTGCAAAGTCAATCAGGGAGGGTCTCTGCAGAGAGGTGGCGTGGGCTTTGTTGCTTGGAGGCACCCTCTGTTTGGAAGGGGAGAAAGGACCCTTGTCTCTTTGAAGCAATTGTGCATGCTGCAGTGAGCAAGCTGGATTAGCATGGGAGAGCCATGAAGTTTGTAAAGTCAATCAGGGAGGGTCTCTGCAGAGAGGTAGTGAAGCAATTGGAGTGTCTGTGGGATAATGTCCAGGGAGGGAGAAAGAAAGAACCCTTGCCTGTTTGAAGCAAGCGTGGATGTTGCAATGAGCAAGCTTGAATAACATGAAGTTTGCAAAGTCAATCAATGCTCTACTGACCTTTCGCCTGCATCTGTGGCCAAGGGCACCCTCAGAGGTTCTGTTGGCAGTCAAGCAAGTGGAGTGTGTGTGTGTGTGTGTGTGTGTGTGTGTGTGTGTGTATACCCCTGTGGGATAATATCCAGGGAGGGAGAGAGAAAGAACCCTTGCCTGTTTGTTGCAGTGAGCAAGCTTGTATTAACATTTGAGTAGCCGTGAAATTTGCAAAGTCAATCAGGGAGGGTGTCTGGATAGGGGTTAGCCTGGCTGTTGTTGCTGGGAGGCATCCTCTGTGGAATGATGTCCAGGCTGGGAGAAATAACCCTTGTGTGGATGGTGCAATTCGCAAGCCTGGTTAGCATTGTGTAGCCCTTGTAGCTGCAAAGTCAATCAGTGAGGGTATCTGGCTATCATTGCCTGGAGGCACCCTCTGTGGAATGATGTCCAGGGTGGGTGGGAGGAAGAACCCTTGTGTGAATGTTGCAATTAGCAAGCCTGATTAGCTGATTACTGGAGGGCATCGAGGGGACTGACTCACCATAGTGGGAGTTGTAGTTCACCCTGCAGCCAGAGACCACACTGAATCCCACCTATGATGCATCCAGAGCCAACACGACAAACTTTAACTACTGATGGAGTTTCAGGGGTTAATTTGGCATAATGGGAGTTGTAGTTCACCCACAACCACTGAAACTGTGACCTCCACCAATGAGGGACCAGGGTTAACCTGGCATGATGGAAGTCGTAGTGCACCCATGACTACTGAAACTGTGACCTCCAACCAATGAGGGACCAGGGTTAACCTGGCATGATGGAAGTTGTAGTTCACCCACAACCACTGAAACTGTGACCTCCACCAATGAGGGACCAGGGTTAACCTGGCATGATGGAAGTCGTAGTGCACCCATGACTACTGAAACTGTGACCTCCAACCAATGAGGGACCAGGGTTAGCCTGGCATGATGGAAGTTGTAGTTCACCCACAACCACTGAAACTGTGACCTCCACCAATGAGGGACCAGGGTTAACCTGGCATGATGGAAGTCGTAGTGCACCCATGACTACTGAAACTGTGACCTCCA